GAATCTCCCATCTGTTTGTTGTTTGCCATATTCCCTTTCATTGGCAGGTGACAACATTACTGTCAACACTCAAAACCTCCAGAACATTCACTTCTATTCTCCAGCCTCACCGCTCCACCCCACCCCACCTCTCTCTTGGCATCTGCATCCATCTAACTTACTGCTTTTCATATGCGTCGATCTAGGGCAGAGTTTCTCAGATCATTCTGACCTCAACCCGCAGTAAAAAAAAAAAAAAAAATGCATTCCGTATCATGACCCACACACGCATATATATAAAGAGCCCAGAGTATTCATGAAACGTCTATTTCATTTTTAAAAAATACTTATTTTGACCCACGAAATTGGTTTCACTCCTTAGCGAGTCTTGACCAAACACTCTGAAAAGCACTGTTAGGACACAGCTGCATAAAATGAGGCCCTTACAGCTTACTAGAGGCTGTGCCCCACCCTAAAGCTACTGAATCCTAATTTGCATATCAACAAGGCTCGAGGGAGACTCCTGTGCACCTGAGCCGCCCTCGTCTAGGAAAGCAGGAAGCCGCACAGTTAGAATTGTATACGTGAAAATAAAGTGCCCGGGGGACTCTCTGTATGTGAAGGATGTGAACTTGAGCAGCCGCACGAACATCTGCTGGAATTCCCCCAAGGGCTTTTTCCCTTGTTTTACAAGGCCAGGGAGTTGCAGAGATGTGTCATCCCTCTGCCCACGACATCTGAAAATTGCAGGTGGTGCTTTATGGTCTCTTCCCATGGCTTGCTTATTCACACCTAGGAGCTTTGAAAGTCACTTTCAAAATGCAGAGACCCGTTCCTCTGCATCCAACAGTGGCAAGTTCACAGAGCTTTTTGTGCCAGGGAATGAGCTCCAGGAATTTTCAGAGAGTGAGGACCAAGAACTAAGTCTGGGGTGTCAGGCCCCATCTGGCCATTAGCTGCACAGATGACTTTCTCAGGTGGAGTCTCAGTGTCTCTGTCATCAAATGCGGCTGTGCTGGGGACCATCTCTAAACTGCCTCTTCTCAAAATCCCCTGAGCTGTCCCTGGAGGTTGCATCATCTCCTCCCAGACTCCCTCCCCTGGGACCTCAGCCTGGCTCCTGCAAGTGGTCCCAGGGCCTGTACTGCCTTCACAGCTCCTGCCTCACCCAGGCCTTGGGTAACCCTCGTGGATGGAGACTGGGGGGAGGGACAATGTGGATCCTCTTCCGCTCTCCACCTCCAGAGCAGGAAGCATCATTGTGAATCTCCTTTTCTGAGTGCAGGGGACCGTGCTGGAGCCTCGTGGATCCAGCCCCTCCCTCCCTGCCCATGTCCTGGGGCTAAACAGGACAGTTATCCTCAGAATGGACTTTGGACTGCTCTACTGCACATCTTTGTCAGGCAAATAAACACAGAAGCATAAGCTCTACAGGGAAATTGTTGGTGTGTTCCACTTGTGGCCAACTCAAAAAGCTAAGCAAGATTTGTTTTGTTTGTTCACCTTCCTGCTGAGGCAAATCACCCTGATGATTAGAATAGAAGCCAGAGGTGAAGGAGGGAATGAAGTGGGCAACTGAGGATAAATGTCAGAGAGATGCCCAGCAATGGAAACCCAATTTCAAGAAACAGGGATGACATCATCCCAGCCATCTGAAAGATCAACCCCTCATTAGGAGTCAGCAATTTGCTTATTTGGGATGTTGTGGACAGGAAAATGAGTCATTTAGTATATCCTATCTTTTAAGACTGTTAGATATTTACTAAAGGCCAGAACTGGGTTACCTGAATATTTTCAGAAGTAAATATGAGTCATTAAATCTAAGATGAGAAGTATAGAAGACACTGCTGGGGCCCTGCCCATGGCCCTTGGCTCTCACCTCTACTCTCTGAAGGCCACCAAATGCCGAATGTAAGCACCTGACTCTGCACCTGACTTAGCCAATGTAAAGGGCAACTTGGGGAGCTGGAGAGGAATGGGAAAGGGGAGATGAAGCCAAGCGAAGCCCTGGCTGGGTTTGGCTCAGCTTCTCCCCAGAGGACCGAGGGGTCTTTTCAATTTTTGATGAAGTCAATGGAAGCAGCCTAACCCCATCATGGATGGGAAGTGGACAGATGAAGAACCTGCTTCCTAACACCTGGGTTGGGAGGACTCAGGGTGTGCTCTCACTGCCCCCCAGAGGTCCCCACTGGGAGTGAGCTCCAGTTGCCCACAGTGCTACAATTCAAAGTTCTTTTTTTTTAAGATTTTATTTATTTATTTATTTATTTATTTATTTATTTATTTATTTATTTAGAGCCTGCTTCCAAGTCGGGGAAGGGGCAGAGGGAGAGGGAGAGAGAGTCCCAAGCAGACTCTGCACTGAGCATAGAGCCCAGCATGGGGCCAGATCCCACAACCCTGCAATCATGACTTGAGCTGAAACCAAGAGTCAGACACAACCCACTGAGCCACACACGTGCCCCTACAATTTAAATTTAAATTAGATTTCCTTCTCTCTTCTGTGGGGAAGTATTTCAGGGTCTGTTTCTGGAGAAATCTAACCAAAGGCAATAGGATTAGTACCTCAGGAGTTTTAAATAGATCACATGACCCTGCACCCTGAGTTGAGTAACCAGGGAATGGGCTGGCTGAAGAGGAGAGGAAGTTCTTGTCCCTAGAAATGTGCAGGAGGACCTGGTAACCATCTCAGAGGGGCCCCAACAAAGGGGGCTTCAAAACATTAAAAGGCTTGCATAACTATTTACCAAGGTGATGACTGCATTTTCATAATCCCCACTCCTCCTCCTGTACGAGATCTCTTACCTGGTAACCTTGAGCTAGGCACCCAGCAGCAGGGAGGTGACTGAAGGTTACTTGACCTTGGGCAGAACACAGTCTTCTGGCCCTCACTTTCCTTATTTGGAATAGAAGTGAGTTACTCAAGGCAACATCTAGGGTCTCTACTAGTATGGACATTCTAGGACTTGGTGTGCCAATTATGGGAGTGGTCTTTGAATATAGGGGAGGCCATAGGAGGTAATCTAAAGGGCCTTGTGGGACCCGCAAAGAATCCTGTCCCTCTCTGAAAATCAGTGTCCGCAGCTGCCATAAGATGACATCAAAGGTCCTTCTCAGCAGCAACACTCAGGGTCTTCAGGTCTGTCCCCAAAGTCCCATTTTTCCTCGTCACCATGGCTTGGGTTGGGAACAGTGCCCAAATCCTACCCTCCATGTAACTGTTGCCAAATATCTCCTTGCAATAGCCCTGTACCCCAAGCTACCAGTCAGGTTTGGCATTTGGACAAAACAAAGCAACAGAGGTTCTTTATAGAGCTCCCTGCTCCTCTCCCCAAATCACATTGCTACTTCCGTCCACCATGACTCTGAGGCATGAGGACATCCTTCACACTCTGTAGTTCTCTCGTATCTATGAGTCCCCATCTTTCCACAGGCTCTGTTCCTCATTAAAAGAATGCCAGGCTATGGACAGCAGAGGCAGAGGCATTTGGGGGCAACTAGGTCTTCCCAAGGCCTATAAAGTCACACCCAAGATTCTGCTCAATCCTGTTGGTGGCTGAAAAAAGCAGGCCAAGGCCAGGAAATCAGAAGGAAGTGAAATCAATTAAGCAGTGTTCTAGCCACTGGGTGAGCTGAGCAAGCAGTAGCCTGGATGCTTCCCAACTCAGGTCACACATACCTGCCCACACCTGTCCAAAGAACCCCACCCAGATTAAGACCTCCCACCGGCAGTCAGCTTGCCACCTATCCTATGATTCCTATGGCTTAGGAAGTATGTTGAGAACTCTCTTAGAACATTATCAGCAAGACCGACATACTTAGGAAGTATGTTGAGAACTCTCTTAGAACATTATCAGCA